GATCCATTCCTGCCCCCTTTAACAACCCCAGCCACCAGTTACAGACTCCAGCATCCCTACTACAACGCAGCATGTCGCCTGGGCATCTGCATCCTTATGTATTAAGGCACATCTAACAGTACTTAAAGCTCTGAGGACTTCAAAGAGAACAGCCTGGTATCAGGTAGCTAATATAGATGGGCTTCCATAAGAAAAATGTTCAAAACAAAACAGTGAGGGTGACAGAGCACTGAACAGGCTGCCCAGAGAGGTTGTGGAGTCTCCTTCTCTGGAGATCTTCAAAACCCGCTTGGACGCAGTCCTGTGCCACGTGCTCTAGGTGACCCTGCGTGTGCAGGGGGGTTGGACTAGATGATCTCTAGAGGTCCCTTCCAACCTTAAGCATTCTATGAAAAGTGATGGATATTGAACAGAGTCTATTATATTGTCCGCCATTTTGTGACAAAATTCATGTTCAACCTATGTAATACTTAGAGGAAGGATGCTGCAAGGTACAAATGCAGTGGTTTAGTCAGTGGGGAAGATGCAACTATGTTTTCATGTTAAAAATGCAGGGACATACCAATTTTGTAAAAAAAAAAAAGTAACAAAATTTTAATGTGTTTGAACTGATTTCGAACACTGCCTCAGTACCTGCAACAAATCCTGATGGGACACCAGAACAACTCACTGGGCTGTGCTGACATCTACAGCACAAAGGAACTGAACCCAACTGGACTGCTGAAATTATTTCAGAGCTCAAAATAGACTGCATCTTCAAAGATTTTCCTTTTTTTTTTAAGAAAACATCAAGTACAGCCGCTGCAGCTGAACCTATGATAATATTCTACATTTAAGGAAGCTCTTCATCAAAATCTGAAAAGTTCAGATGACTGGCACTTTGCATTTGTGCATCTTTGCATCTGCTTTTTTTTTTTTCAATTGAGAACAAATGAAAGTATATTCAATGTGATGAGAGCAAAGATGGGGGCTGTATTTAAGCTAACAGACCTCCTGACAGCACTGGGATTTTCCCTGTGTTTTATATTAAGAAACATGAGAAGAGTATATGGGCTTTGCTGATAAGAGCAGAAAATGAATTGGCAGACACTTCCCCAGACAAGACAGGAAAGCAGTGTTTGAACACAGATGAAATTGGACTGCTTTAATAGCTGATCACAGAACTGATGTTCAAAGCTTTCAGTCTAGCTTCCATCTAATAGTTTTGGTTTCAGCTATGTACAAGGAATTGAAAGGAATCAGGAAGCAAGGCCATTTCTGGTGACCACAGGAGTTAAAAGAAATCTTTTACTCTGAAAATAGCGCTGATTATTCATTACATGGTCACTTCCTTAAAGGTGAAGAACTACTGAGTTAACGAAAACAGTTCAGAGAAATTGTGCTCAGGACAACTTGTTCCTTGTTTTGATGAGAACAGTACTATTGCTGCTGCAAGAAAATATGGATACAGGAAGCACTGGAATGTTTAAAAGGTTTGAGTTTGGTTTTAGAGAAATAAAGGAATATGTACTAATCAAAATCTGATGCCTCAGCTGTTCAGATTATTGTCTTAAAAAGAATATATAACTACAGCCATATCCCCTTCCTCAAATGCTGAATTAATTATGGTCCTACGATCACTAAACTAAAGAAAAAAAGTAAGGCAGAAGACTCAATATCTTAGCAGGATTTAGTGCTTATATATAATAAAAAGAAAAAAGGTACTGGTGCCTTTTGCAGATGATTCCATACTAATATGCTGTATGTCATTTTTTCTTTGTAGCTG